AAAATAATGTACTAAAACATTAAAAGTAATAAGTCCAAATCTGTAGCAAATATAAATATTGTAATCATTTCTTATAAATATGATTTCCTAATGTAATTTTCCAAGATATTAAAGATCATAATGCAAAAAAACTAAATTTATTAAAAGTAATAGGCTTTATGTTTCTTAAACTACCTACATTTGTCAAAGTATTTATGAATTTTCGAAAATATTCGTCCACTAGTTTTATTGTTGGAATGAAATATAGCAAGACTTGCATTGCCTACTAAGAAAGTTAGTAGCCGGTAGTCATCGGGTTAAGGGATATTTGTGCTAGCCATCCCTAATTTTGAAGTGACAGACTAGAGGGAAGGCAGATAGTCAATATCACCCACCACAAACTCATGCACTGCTTCAATCGAATAGTGAGATTTAAGAATCACTCTTATAAAGCACACAATGATCCAAAATGAATAATAAAAATTATTTTCTGGCAGTAACAGTGCATAAACCATTACAAAAGCTAACCCTCCTGTTATAAAAATAAATCGGTCTAAGCTGAAGATGACTCCTACTCTGCCAAAATTTATATTTATGCCCTCTAATCCTATCATTCTCACCATTAATTACAAAAAAATATGATGCATCAACACTATCAATTCCCTTACAACTATAAATACCTCAATCAGATCCCCCCTAACTCTTCTTTTTTCAAGAGAAAACAATTTCAGATATCTTAATTCATATTATAGCCTTTCCATCCCAGGTATCATCCTAATAGCCCTCCTCTGAACCCTTTCCAACAATTCAGTGTCCTTCTTAAGGTAAGGAGCCCAAGACTGAATGCAATACTCCAAATGTGGCCTAACCAATAACCTATACTATGAAATTATATCCTCCTTAGACTTATGCTCAATATTTCTGTACATACAAACTAAAATCCTATTTGCCCTGCTATTAGCAACAGTACACTGCTTGGATGACTTAAGAAACTGATCAGCTAGAATACCAAGATATTTTTCTTCCATAAAACTGGAAGGTTATTCCCATCAAAATTATACTCAAAATTCAAATTATGATATTCTACATGCACTTCCTTCCATTTATTATAATTAAAAGCCAACTACCATTTATTTGCCCAACTCATTAAATACTCCAAATTCTTTTGTAAAGCAGCAGTATCCTCCTCACAGACAGCAACATCCAAAACCTTAATATCATTACCAAATTCAAATAGTTTATTGACCATCCTTCATCTATGTCATTGATGTAAATCAAAAACAGCAGATGTCTTAACACTGAGCCCTAAGGTACCCTGCTAATGACATTAATCCAGTTTGACTGAACTACAATTATAACAACCCTCTGCTTTCTTCCACTCAGCCAGAATTCTACATTTAAAGGCATCACAGATCTCTTATTGCTCTGTCTCGTGTGGCTACACACTGCTTGTCTCTATAAGAAGATCGATTGACACAGGTGATCAGTCATCTATTTAATAGACGGGAATCTCGTTTGTTATTGGAATTAATCAGACAAATCGTCCACCAACTAAGGGTGGGTATGCATCTCCACCCACTGAATCAAGAAAGAACTCTTGATGTTTGTGAAAAACTACTGTTAAAAATATTTTGATATTAGTCCTAAATAATTTGTTAATTCCTCTTGAAGTTACCAAGAAACTGTAGAAAAGATTCTTACTTATAGAGATGAGCCAACTTGTCCACTGTATTGACAGACATTACTGAATGAAGATCATTAAAAGAGTATATGACAGGATCTAGTCGGCAGAACTTCCTCCAATGAGTGTAACCTGCAATTCCATGGTCACGACCTTGCTGAATAACCATTGCTGCCAAATCCATACCAGACCCTAGAAAAATATTTTATCCTATTAATCCTTACAATAATGCCCTGTACAATCCTACAGATCACCCTAATATACTGAACAGAAGTTTATAGGATGTGCAAGTAACAGAATTAAATCCTACAAGTTTAAAGTAATCAATCAAATATGATGTCATAAGAATTAAATGGGAATAAGTAGAACACTACAAGATCTTAACAGTTTTAAAAGGCCAGTCTTGTGAATACAAAATAAAATTGTACAGGACATTCAAAATCTTACAGAACAGCATAAACTGGATTTAAAAATTCAAGATATTAGCAGGACTATAATTTCAAAAAAATTTTAATTTCTAGTTTTCATAAAAAAATTATTAGAATTTCACTTCAACATATACATATACACACCTTATAGGACATTCTCTAGATGTACTTACAGAATCCCTAAATGATACTGAAAATAAATTTAACAGTGTGTGTGCACTTTATGTCACTTCTTGCTGTCACTTCAGAGCAAAATTTGCCAACTGCCAATTCTGGGATTAAAATAAACTAGAGAAAATTTATAAAAACCACACAAATATACACTGAAAGAAAATAAATAACATTTTTAATATTATAACTATGACAAAACCAAACCTCTCATAAAATAATATCAATCACACATCCTCATTCTTTTTTGGCAAATCAAATATCTGGTGATAAGTTATATAATATGAAAAAGCAAATGATTGGTCATCCAGTCTATGTTATATATATAGTGATCACATTCAATCATGTCTTATTTATCATTATGAATTGAATCAGATTTTGAAGTGATTCAACTCGTTCATAAACCACAGCTAAACCTCAAAGATGATACTTGAAAATTTTACTCATGTGAAAAGTCTTGAGATAAATGGAAGCCAACGAATCCCAGAAAGCTGTTGCAAATCGACTTCAAATGTCTCAAAGTGTTCTCAAAATAATATGGAACCATTTCAAAACCACTGTTACAATTGCTCAAATACCTGACAAAGCCAACCATTGCCCATAACATGAGCAAAAATACTTAATATTTGTTAATTCTGGCTCACTGCATAATTATATTAGATAAATAAAACCACTAAAGCAATTAAAGAATCAACTTATTAAAAACCTTAGCACAAGCCTAATGAAATAATTAGACACTTAGGAACCTAGACTTACAAAGGCCTACCATTTACTACGATTTGATACTTATTTCTGAATGAAGGAAGAAAATCAAGACATTATGCTTTAAATGAACAACATTTTCCTCAGTCTAGAGCCATTCTCTTGAATCTAACAAGAGAGAAGTACAATAAAATATAAATACTATCTGATATTCTGAAAATAAAGGTATATGCACATGATTTCTTAACTTGCACTGTAACTGTTATTGGTACTACTCTAAGAAACAATGGTGAAACTATTATATCTGAATGCTTATGATCTGTTCCAAAGTATTAAAGTATACATTTCATAGCTCTATCTCCAGATTTGGAAAAAAAGAGTATTATAGATTTCTATACACACAACAGTAATAGCTGTAATCAGTAAATACTTTTCACAGTCAAAAAGAATATAGTGTTTATCCCCAACCAGTGTTAATTAACATTGTTTTGATTTTTTTGTAGTTAAGGGAAAACATATATTTTTGAAAAGTTTGGGGATAACTTTAATTGATTTAAAGTTAGACACATGGGCAGTACAATGTTAGCTTTATAACTCAGAATATAATGTACTGAAGAGAAAATGTAAGAAAATACCTGGTTTACTATCAGAGAAAAAACTGTTGGTCATTTCCTTGCTGATAAATTCATCTCTCCTTTGGGCTCGTTGACTAACTAATCCTAATAAGTACTCGTTGAATTTATTGGGTTCATACATATCTTTTGGGTCAAAAAAAGTTTGGCTCATTGGGGTGGAGCCCAGCTTATGGTAATCCTTGGAATAACGGTCAAACTTAGATGGCATCATAGAGTAGAGGAAACTCAGAACTGCAGTGCCCACAGCATTGGATATTCCTGGATTGATATTTATATCATAGCCAGTATAATAGCCACTAGCCTGGGGTTGGAGGTCATATTTATCAATCAGTTCTTGACCCAGAAGAGCAGGTAGAAGCTCATTGTAGGTGATATGCTGAAGCTAAAAATGATTACATAAATTAGGCATTCATTAAGAAAAGCATATAACAGCAGTTTAGTTATTTGATATGTGAAAACCATATATTAGGAGCAGCTAGGTTACTTTATAAGTATTTTAAATGGCAAGATAATGAAAATTATGCCTTACTTGAAGGAGTTGAAGCTTATTTACCATACAAATTATAATGAATAGTCTCACAACATGTGTAGTATTTTGGCATATTTTTCAATAGTCACAGTATGACTTTTTCTGTTTAGTGCTATGTCCGTCTCACCATTGTCAGTCAAAATAATAAAATTCTGGACAATTGCTCAGACTATTTTGTTTTTAAATATCTTTTGTACATTTCCAGTATTGTAAACAAGAAAAAGCTGGATTTTTTGTCAGTACATACTATTTATAAAAAAAAACTACAGGTTAATATTTATCAGCTTTTCAATCTATAAAATAACACATATATTTACTGTTAAACATAGTTGAGAAGTTCAATTCATCATACATTAAAAGATTTTATAAACATATATTGATTCTAGTGTTCATCAAACTCAGGCTAAACTTTAAAAACAAAATCCCATAAAACTCTGAATATCCAAAACAGAAACAAAACATAAAACCTAATCAAAAATTGTCAGTGAGAATTATCTTAGAAAATATTTTTAATGTACTGGTTCATTTGAAGCCTCTATTAAAACATGTGAAGATGCTTGCATTGAGATTTAAAATTACTCAATTTTATAAACTGATAAAAACAAGATACTAGATGAATAAAAAAACATCACAACTATAACAACATGATGAATACAAATGTCAGACTGGTTAGTTTACAACACATACTATCTCTAGTAAATTATTTCCTTTTTATTACATTTTCATAAATTTTCTGTTCATTGCAAAATTGTTTTAATTCAGTTTATTTTTACCTTAATATACATTAATTTGTTGCTGTACTATCTGTATCTTCCGCCCCCTGTGGCACAGCGGTATGTCTGCGGACTTATAATGCTAGAAACCGGGTTTTGATACTCGTGGTGGGCAGAGCACAGATAGTCCATTGTCTAGCTTTGTGCTTAACTTTAAAACATACAAACAAGAAAGGTATATTAAATTAGTTGTATTAATATCGGAGTTAAATTTTAACTCTGATTTTTGTCAGTACATATCACAGGTTGTCAGCACTTGCTACAGGTAACTCAAGTAATGCAGATGACAATATAACATGACAGTCGCATGTTCTTTAGAGAAAAACATATAACTGTGATTATAATATTGCATCCAAATAAAAGACTGCACATCAGAGTCAGATAAATAGGGTTATGGCTATGAATGTTAAGGAACAGAAACTAATAAACTGCTTCAATGCACTTCCCATGCTGTAACAGTCATAGGAGCAAACTCTTCATTAAAGGACAATATCCACATATACAAGACAACTATCAGCACACTACATTTACGCAAGTGTCCCTACCCACAATCCAGTCTACACAGCCCAGTACATTATAAAATAATCACAAAGATAGGGTTAATAAACAATATACAAAATACAATTCATAGGTTTTTAAAAACCTGAAGCCTTTCATTCAGTTCAATTCCTACAATCAATATAGACTTATTAAATATGTGCAAACTCTGAGTTTTTTAATCACTGAACTTTATCTTAACAGTTCAGATAGGCAAAATCAGAATGTAATGGCAATTCTCTCAGAGTACAAGCATAGTCCACCAGCTGATGACACCATTAACTTATTGATACTTGAATTTTTAGAATCTATTCAACTTGCCAAGGAAAGAAAAGAAACTTACACAAGCTGTCCAAGTCCTTCAGTGAAATATGTAAGAAAAATCCAAACAAAATAAAACTCTTAGTTCTTTTAAGCAGATAAATTATTTCACCTACCTCTGCTATGACAATCCTTCTTGCTTCTTCGTACACTTGGTCATCATCCCAGTGAAGGTTCAGAGCAGACAGAGAATTTGCTATACGATTGTGTTCTCGAACCCAGATTGTATGCATTACCATGAGTCCTGCATTCTCATTCACACGAACATCCCCTAAATTTTAAACACAAATACAAAATAGATTAACATATTACAACTCACAAGACAAAGTTAAACAAATTTTGATTACAATTAGTTTTTTTTTAAACAGGTAAAGTATCATATTAATCTTAAGCTTTTGTTATTGATCACTGAATGCTATTACAATCTTCGTTAGTAACATTTACTTTACAAATTTTTCTGTCTGTAAATTGTGTCTACATTTTTTTCTTTTTTGCATTTTAATATTAGAATCAGAATAATATTGGTTTAAAATATTACAAGTTATATAAACCGAACTGTTAGATAACACTATGTTTAATATATTTGAACTTGGGTGATTAAATAACTAAGAATAAAAGTTTTCATGTGAATTGACTGTTATTAACTAATCAATGATTAATCCTAGAGCTATTGGTGGGGTTCATTTTTGTTATTTTTTATTTTGGACCAATGGAACAATTTTTTTTTTAATTATATACATACCAAATTGCATGTGAGTCCAAGATTTTATCATTAACATATGAGTCATGCAAGAAAATTAAATTAAAAATACCATCAATATTGCAGTTAATCTCATTAATAACTGATGGACTCCCCTGTCTGTTTTACGTAGAAAATTATTGATTTCACCGAATTTATTTCTGGTCAGTTCTTTATACTGAGTGTTATAACAGGTAAAAACATATAACTACTTAATATGGTGTACTATGTGAATCCAATTGGTAGTGAAAGGTATAAAAACATAGATAATTCGAGGGTGTAGAATTTTCTAAATAATGAGCCAAACCACATCCTCAAACAATAGTCAGTTACTTTGACATACTTCTAAAACTCAACAAAAATGTTTGATTGATTTATAACTTGACTACTTTTAGGATGAACAGCACGTGGTAAAATGTTTGTAAAACTGGTTATACCTGATTCATATTCCACTTTGAGAAGTTATTGAGAAAATGATCAAGTAAAGTTAACGTAATGTGGTTTCAGGTAGCGTTTCCTTCCTTGATCCCTTGCCAATTCAGAGAAAACTGAATTTTTGTGGTTCTTTGAAGTCAGCATTTTAACAGAGGCTAATATAGAGCATCTAGAACCATGTTTTCACCTTATATTGAAAATCAAACTGAATGTGGCACTACACTTTTAGAAGTCTGAAAGTTATTATTTAAGGATCAAAATAGCTGTAGCCCAATCAACTTGCATTTACTTCTATGACTACTGTAATGCATAAATATGTATATATAAAGTCTGCTTAAATTATGTAAAATATTATAAAATCAATTCCTGGTGAGAGAATCAGTTATTTGCTTCTCAGGTTCAACAAAGTGTGCCGAAATAACACAAATTGTTAATAAGTCAACAATCAATCCCAGAAAGCACATGAACAATCTTAAAAGTGGTCAGATAAAAGCTTGATTAACAAACTGATATTCACCAATATAGTTGACATACGTGCTGTTTTGGCTCAAGTCTTTTTCCACATTATTATAGTTATTATTCGATTTCAAATTGTTTTATGCTATTATAAAGATGGACATATTTGTCACTAGATAAATGCATTGCTATTTTGCATATGAAGTTTATCTTTTCATGCTTTGTTTGTTTTGTTGTTTGTAATGTATCTCAAGCTACTATATGTCTTTAGTCAAATCTAGAATAGTGAAAGTTTGACAACAAGATCAAAGGAGAATTCAATGAAATATCCTGATTGGTTAACAGAGAGGATTTAACATGAGCAACTACCTAGTGTACAGTGGTAGTTTTTGAATAAAACAGTAAATAACAATACCAATCTTACCTGCAAGAAAACATTGAGTTCCACCAGAAGATCTACAGTCTTGAGTTTGTTGTTCCCCTGGCATGAGTTCATGTCCTGATCGTCCCCGCTGTGTTTTCAGAGTCCCCTTTCTAAAGGCTCTCAGTATGTTAGCCTCATAAACAGATGCTCCATAAATAGCAGAACCATCAATGTATGAAGTCACTTGGTTGATCTGCTCTCTTGCTCCAAGAGTACATCCAGTTCGAGGTGCAGTACAGGAACGAGTATATTCAATGCAGTTTTGACCTCGCTTTCCAAAGACAGGATCTTTCTCTGGGACACGTACTGGATAGCATTCAGGGTGAAACTCACTCAAAGCTACTTCACAACATTTTAGTCTGTGACCCTGATATCCTGAAAAAATGGATAGCACACCTCAAGAATTACTTAATAGCTTTTATGTGTAAATAATTTCTGTTTGATAGACAAAATAACAAAAGCAATACTTTTCTTTTGGAATTTGCCCCAAAATAATGAAAGTATACCTTCTGGAAGAATTCTGGGATTCTTGAGTATGTAGTTAATCATAGAAAGAACTTTTTCACATGCATAATTTTGTGTGACATAAAAAACAGAAAATACTTTGTTCTAAACACACACTCAGTCCATAGTTAGAAAGATAGAAATTTACTGGAGAATCACTGAAATGGCCATTGGCTAAATTTTGAATGACAAAGAGTTGATCGTGCAAGGTAACAGACATTTTCATTTCACACGAATAGAGCATAGAGTACAAATAATGATCTTTTTAAAACTAGTAAAAAACTCTGAAGAAGATTCTGTTATTAAAAAATGAAAAACTCTCAAATTAGAAACTATCATGGAGAGTATGTTTTCTTATAGCAAAGCCACATAGGGCCATCTGCTGCTTCCACCGAGGGGAATCGAACCCCTGATTTTAGCGTTGTAATTCCGAAGACTCACCGCTGTCCCACAGGGGGACTTATCATGAAGAAAGACCTACCTTTTGAAAACGTTCACATTATAGTTTCTTATTTTTGTCTTTCATTTGATTTTTCTAACCCACACATTTTCTTAACATAATGACTTGTTCGTGAAATTGAAATATTTTGTAGAAACATGTTGTATATAATCATATTATTTCTATTACGTCAACATATATGCTAACCTTCATTTTAACAGAAAGATCGCTATAAATACAAAATTTTAACTAATTTAAGTCTTGTACTTTTAACTGTTTATATTGTTGTAACCTATTCTATCATTGTTCGGTTCTTTTCGATTATTTGGTGAAAATAATACGAAGTCCAGTTCACGTGACAATAACGAATCAGTTTGTTTCTCCCTATAACATTTCTACAAGCTACATTTGCGTTGATACAAGTCTTAAATACTAGGCCTAACTTCAAATACATATTGTTACGTCTCCGTTCGTTAGTTAATTTTCCGTAAATTCGTTCCGACGAAACTTTAGCGACACAAGTCCTTTCGTAAATAAAACTGGTTTATTCTTTCCGAATACAACTTTACGATACACTTAATTTCAACAGTCGCTCTGTAATAAACGCTATAATTCTCAACGAACTTCTCACGTGCTTAACAATATTCTCTCTGACTGCATTTCAATTACTCATTACCTCTGTTGTCCCGTCACGTTGTGAACGTCTTATATATACAAGACTAACACATATCTAGTAAATGCTAGGGCATTCTTGAAGGAACAGGATATTTCTAGAAACAGGTGGCGTGATACTAGTCACGTGACCTCGCTGACGCAACAATATATTTTTGAACATAGACCAAATATAATGTTTCAATACAAACTGAGAGACTTAGCTTTGATCGATAAACAAACATGTAACTCACTGAGTAACTGAATAGCAGAAAATAACTTAGAAGTGATATATCTTACTGAATTCTCAATAACTTCTCATTGATTGGCACTGAACTCAATGCTTCACTGATTATCGTATATATGAGTAATGTACGTATCAAGATCTTAGTAGAATTTACTAGATCTTAACCCTCTGAACCTTATTTGTTTGTTATGAATTTCGCGCAAAGCTACACGAGGGCTATCTGCGCTAGCCGTCCCTAATTTAGCAGTGTAAGACTAGAGGGAAGGTCATCACCACCCACCGCCAACTCTTGGGCTACTCTTTTACCAACGAATAGTGGGATTGACCGTCATATTATAATGCCCCCACGGCTGAAAGGGCGAGCGTGTTTGGTGTGACGGGGATTCGAACCCGCAATCCGCTGATTGCGAGTTGAGTGCCCTAACCACCTAGCCTTGCCTGGCCGTAAGCATCTTATAACAAACATCTAAATTAAGACAATGAAAATAGACTTTACAACAGTATATTATATTATTGTAATGTATGGTGCTGCATTTCAGTTTTACTGAATTTGCAAAAAACCATTCTTTGGCTGTCATAACTTAACCAAGGTAACTCTAACAACTTCCTAAAATTAAAATTGTGGATTTTATATCTAAATGTATTTAAAATTAGCATGTTTAATGGTTTTGTTTTGAGTTTACTTAGTGATCTATATTAATAAAACGGCGTGTCAGTGAGTCTCTGTGTGACCACCATAACTCCAAGAAGAAAGAACCTAGAAAGATGAAATTTCCCTGAGGGTTTGCACCTGGGTATTATTACTTATGTACGTGCGTGCGCATCTTTTTATGCGAAAAAACACATAAAAAGAAATGTGACCACCATAGCTCCAAGAGGAAAACCTAGAAACCTAAAATTATGCACCCATACTAAATGGACCCTGAGGGTTTACACCTGGGTATCATTACTTATCTTACCCACGTCCGTGCGTGCGCATCTTTTTAATGAGGCAAGCTAATGAAAAACCGCATAGAAAAGAAGTGGTTCCTTATATTACAAATCGTAGATATAAATCACAGACAGACAAGCACGCGCATGAGCATCTTTTTAATGACGCAATCTAGCGAACAACCACATAGAAAAGAAATGGTTTCTTCTATAACAACTTCTAATATATATAGAAAAGCCAGTGCGTTTAGTAACAATGCGTTCCAACAATGGCTTTTATATCATGTTGCTTAGCAATAAAAGTATAACCTAATATTGTTATTAATAGGCTATGTGCTGAAAGTATATAAGCTACAAAATTGAAAACAAATATTTGTTGTTTTCTAATTTAGAGGCTCTGTTAATTGAAAAAGGTTTGTTTTTATTTTTTGTTTTATTATTTAAGTTTAAAATTGGAGGACAAGTCAGAGGGAAGGTTACTTTTATAAACAGATCATATCCCGTAAAGGAGCAACAAAAGTATATAGGTTATACTTTTATGCTAAAATAGGTTCAGAATACACACACTGACATAATGATCTAGAATAAATCAACTTAATAACCCGAGCGAGGCCGGGTACTTTTGCTAGTTAAGTATGCTTTTTACAAGTTTCAGCTTTTACAGTAAGATCTGTTTTTAGAGCAGGTACTTGAGAATGATCGCACCAGTGATCGAAAACGTCGTACCTGCCCTAAAAACAAATATTACTTACTGTAAAAGCTGTAACTTGTAATAAAATATATTTATATTGTTTGTTTTTAAGAGCAAAGCCATATTGGGCAATCTGCTGTGTGCACCGAGGGAAACCAAACCTTGGGTTTTAGCGTTGTAAATTCTTAAACTTACCGCTGACTCACAGGGGGACGAACACTTCCAAACGAGTTGCTTACTTTGCTATTGACGTAAGGATGTTTTCTAGCATTGTGTGAGCTGATTGTGTTATAAGGCTCTTTGTATTTGTCATACATATCATTTCTTAACCTATTGTTATGACAGCGAAAGTCACGCGACGCTGGAAGCATATGCGCTGGAGTTTCTCGAAGGATCATGAATTATCGAGGAACTCCGCGAATGTCCTAGTGTTTGCCAGGCGCCCTCTTTTTTAGTATATAAGCCTGGCGAGAAAAACCAGCGCAAAATAGGTCAGAGTTAGATAGATCGGAGATATGGATAATTGAGTCAAGCGAACAGTAGGCA